TTTACAAATGCTACAGAAATGGTAATTGAGTTGGAAAACTCTGAACCAGTCGTTTACCGTCCCTACCGCATGTCTTATACTGAGCGACAACTAGTAAGGGACATGATAAAAGAGATGGCCGACAGTGGAATCATAAGAGAGTCTTCATCGCCCTATGCCAACCCAATTGTATTGGTACAAAAGAAGACTGGTGAGAAACGGCTATGTGTCGACTACAGGGCTCTTAACAGAAAGACGAAGAAAACTCATTATCCATTACCTCGAATCGAAGATCAATTAGATTTACTAGCAGGTAATACTTTATTTACATCATTGGATTTGGCTTCTGGCTATTACCAGATACCAATTTCTGAAGAATCTCGAAGCAAGACTGCTTTTGTAACGCCCGATGGGCAGTATGAATTTAATCGTATGCCGTTTGGGTTGGTAAATGCACCATCTGTGTTTCAACGCACCATCAACAAAATACTTATGGAGGCTAAAATCAAGTATGCCATTGTATACATGGATGATGTGCTTATCCCGTCTAAAACCTTTGACGAAGGCATTGTTAGACTAGAAGAAGTACTCAAACTCTTGAAGAGAGGAGGTCTAACCCTCAAGTTAAGTAAATGCAATTTCTTCTATGAAACTATTGACTTTTTAGGATTTGAAGTAAGTGCTAATGGAATCCGCCCAGGCAGTAGGAAAACAGACGCTGTCTCAAAATTTCCGAAACCTCGCAACCAACATGAATTAAGACAGTTCCTTGGGTTATCTGGATTTTTTAGGCGTTTTATCAAAGGTTATGCTACAATCACGGCATCATTGACTAGCCTTTTAAAGAAGGACTCTTGCTGGACATGGGGACCAAGCCAAGAAGAGTCCTCTTTAAAAATTAAGGAAATACTAGTCAACCGCCCATTGCTAGCTCTTTATGACCCTTGTGCAGAAACAGAACTTCACACAGACGCAAGTAAGGAAGGTGTGGCAGGAATATTACTGCAGCGAAATTCAAAGAACACATTACAGCCCATATCTTATTTTAGTAGGAAAACAAATGCACACGAGCGTCAACTTCACTCATTCGAACTCGAAACTTTAGCAGTGGTTGCGTCATTGAATCGCTTTAGAGTCTATCTTATAGGAATACACTTTAAAATTGTAACTGATTGTAACGCCCTTAGATCCACTCTGACTAAACGAGATTTAGTAGCTCGTATTGCGCGCTGGTGGATCCAGCTACAAGAATACGACTGCACGATTGAATATCGACCAGGCGCCCGAATGTCTCATGCAGATGCGCTTAGTAGAAACCCGGTGGACTGTTCGTCTGAAGGTATTGCAGATGACCGGCTAATATGGGATGTGTTGGCGATACAGCAAAGTCATTCGGACTGGATAGTTACCGTGCAATCTGCTGATGACGAAATAAAGAAAATAAAGCACATATTAACGGACTCCAAGGCAGACCAATATGTAGACATAATTAAAAACCACAAACTTAAAAATGAGCGCGTCTATCGAATTGTTGGCGATTCACTAAGATGGGTAGTACCTAAGGGAGTACGTTGGCAAATACTCAAAATGAACCACGACGACATCAGGCATTGTGGTTTTGAAAAAACATTGAAACGAATCCAAGAACATTATTGGTTCGCTAAAATGCGCCGCTTTGTAAAAAAATATGTGACGTCTTGTCTCGAGTGCGCACATCACAAAGCGCCGGGAGGAAAACGTGAAGGAGAGTTACATACAATAAATAAGGTCAGTATTCCCTTCCACACAGTCCACGCAGATCACTTAGGACCCTTTGTGAAAAGTAAGAAAGGGAATAGCTATTTGTTAGTTTTGATTGATGGCTTTACAAAATATATTAACATTACTCCTGTTAAGAATACAAAGTCCGTGACAAGCATACAAGTTATTAAAAACCACATAAGTTACTTCGGCGTACCCACGAGACTGATCACCGATAAGGGAACTAGCTTCACGAGTAAAATTTTTCAGGATTTTATTATGTCTTATGGTATCAAACACATCACAAATGCCGTTGCTACTCCAAGAGCTAACGGTCAAGTAGAACGTTTTAATAGGACCATTTTAGATGCTTTATCGGCATCTGGACATGGTAAAGACGATAAATCTTGGGACAATTATGTACAGGATATTCAAGTCGGTATAAATACAACTATGCATAAAACTACACAAAGGTCCCCATCTGAGTTACTTTTTTGGATTTAATATAACCGGTAAATCAGAAGGCATCCTAAGCTCTGTTATCAATGACACATTAAATGGAACTCCATTAGAAAAGTTAGACGAACTTAGGCAAGATGCTAGTACAAAAATTAAAGCACAACAAATTGAATATGCAAAAAGATTTAATGAACGTAGAAAGCCCGCAACTAAATACAATGAAGGTGACTTAATACGTTTAGAAAAGCAAGTCCCACACGACGGAAAATCACAAAAACTTGTAATTAAATTTCAAGGCCCGTATCGCATAGTAAAAGTGCTACCAAATGACAGATTTCTAGTTGAAGATACGCCGCTTACCCGTAAAAACAGTAGAAAATATGAAGCTATAGTGTCAATTGACAAAATTCATCCGTGGATGAATTTCAATAGAGATTTTGAGTCTGATTCAACTGATAATAATACAGTTGACACTGAATAGTTAAAATTAGATATTCATTGGTTATATTATACAAACATAAAAAAAGATAACTGTGCATTTAATACCAATTATAGATTTTATGACGGAAGGTCAATTTTAAATTTTGATTTTATTATTTTGATTAATATTGTATTTATATCTATCATGCTTAGTCTAGTTTAGGATATGTTAAATGTAATAAAAAAAAAAAAAAAAAAATGTAATTTCGTTACTTTCTTTTATACTTGCGGGGTTTTTTTTTTAAGTGTAGAAGCGATGGGACTCGCTTTGAGTAGGATGGCCGAGCTGTTAGGTTAATAATTGCTATTGTTAGATTAATAACCACTATATTATTGTTTATAACGGAATTACTCGATAAGTGATTTGACTTTATATTATAATAATTATTAGTTACTTACATTAATGATTGCGGATAATGGATAGAGTAATATAATGTAACCGGAAGGATAATGTTTTGATTGCTGTGAAAGAGTGGGGCGGAAATGACGCCGCCCCACCTTGCTAACAAGTGCTAAAGGTTGATTAGTAAAATGGAGAGTGGCATTAGCTCAACGCGAATCGTCGCGGTAAGACGTGAAGTGAAGTTGAATTTTGTATAAGTTTAAATTGTAAAGTGAACCAAAGTGTAATAGTTTGAATCTACCGTTGGTTTCCTACCTGGACTCGAGATAGTATTGTAGAAAGTGAAATAAAGTATAATAGTTGGAATCAACCCTTATATTTTCTACCTGATCTTGAAATGGTACAACATGTTGGTCTTAATAACCTGATCCTGTATTGCACAGACAAAACCCTCGGTTTCCCCCGAAGAGATCACCAAAGCGTAGCCAGTGGAGGGAGGCTACTGTGTCTACGAAAGGCTCATGTAGAGCCTTGTAGAACCTCCCGTGGAGCTCCTTCTCCTTCCATACGGTCTCCCGGTCGGAAATGCTCTGCACTGCCGGGTCTTGCCATTGCTCGTTGGCTAAGGATAGAGGGGTAAGTCCTTTATCACAAGAAATGACGTCCTTATAGAATGGATCATCCGATCTCGCCAGGAAGTAATCACGGAGGCTGCACACTTCGCGATTATGCATGGTGAGCGCGCTCAAGAAGCCACGACCACCATGCTTCCGCGGCAAGTACAGCCTCATTACCGACGATCTCGGATGATGCATCCTATGGGACGTCATTGTAGTGCGGACTTTTCTATCCAGGGCGTTAAGTTCAGTCTGAGTCCACCTGAGTATGCCAAAGGTATACATGAGGACAGGCATGACCCAGCCGTTATATGCGTGTGCCTTATTCACACCGGACAAAAGGCTGTTAAGCACTTTGGTCAAGCGTGCATAAAACACGTCGCAAACTGACTGTTTCATACCAGTCTCATCGATACCGATGTTTTGTGACATACCCAGGTATCGGTATGTTTCAGCCTCGGAAAGGGTCCTTAAGTTGACGGGCATAGATAAGTCTACGCCCTCAGAGTTAGCAACCCTTCCCCTTTCAACATGGAGGACCGCACACTTATCCGTCCCCAGCTCCATTCCAATGGAATTGCTAAATTCACAAGTGATGTTTAGCAATTCCATAAGATGGGAGCGACTGGAGGCGAATAACTTGAGGTCATCCATATAGAAAAGGTGGGTCACTTTTGTCCCTCCTTTCCGTAGCTGAAATCCCCTCCCGGAGCCCTCCAGTAAGGTACTGAGAGGGTTCAGAGAGAGGCAGAACCAGATTGGACTCAGACAATCGCCCTGGAAGATACCCCTTCTTATCCTTATGTGGTTCTCCGCAGCCATCATCCGCTCGCCTAGATGACAAAGGATCGTACTCCACTGCCCATACACTGCTCGAGGAAGTCTCTAACTGTACAGTCTATCTTGTACAGCTCGAGGACTCTCTTTAGCCATGTATGGGGCACCGAGTCGAATGCCTTTCTGTAGTCTATCCAGGCGGCGGAGAAGTTCCGACGGTTGCGTTTCACCACTTTGCCAATGACCGCGTCAATGAGGAGTGGTTCCTTGGTTCCACGACCACCGCCCCGACATCCATTTTGAGCGCGCGACATCACCTGATTTGAGTCCAGGTGACAAGTGATTCTCGCGCTCAAAATGGATGTTAGTGTCTTGTATATGGTCGGTAGACACGTGATGGGGCGGTATTTGCTCGGGTCTGTGGTACCCTGGTCTTTAGGAACTAAATGAGTGATCCCAGTAGTGAAGAGGCTTGGGAGCGACTTCTGGTTGAGAGCCTCTTGAAACTGTCGGGCGAGCACAGAGTGACACACCATGAACCCCTTCAGCCAGTAGTGATGCAGCCCGTCAAGCCCCGGACTTTTCCAGTTCGGGGCCCTACGAACCTCCGCCTCAGCTACGTCATCCGGCGTTATGATGACGGGGTCCATGGGCGTAATACCCGCACACTGACTCGCCACAACTTCCGTCCAAGGGCCCTCGCTGTGGTTTACGGGCTCTGACCACAGGCCGCGCCAGAATGCTACAGTGTCGGCCTGATTCGGTGCTGGACCCGTTCCACTTACCATTGGTCGCTCCAATGATTCATAGAGCCTCTTCTGATCACTCTGGAAGAGACTATTCTGGTTGAACCGTGTCGACCTCTCGGTATATCGCCGAATCCGCTTTCCCCAAGCAGCGATTCTCTGCTTCAGATCATCTATGCGCTCCGTCAGTTTTTGCGTTATATCCGGCTGGGACAAACTGACATTTGTCCCAGCAAACGCCATCCTGACGGTGCGCACAATTCTTGGCCTGTTGTTGCCTGATCTGAAGCATATCAGTCTGCCGATGAGAGCTCTAGCCTTTGCGATACGTTCCTCAATTCTTCTTCTCCATGCTGGGATAGCGCTATTATGGCCAGTAGCGCGTCCAGCCGTGGAAACCTTGGCGCCTATGATACGGCAGACTGCCAGCGCGGCGCCAAAAAGAATTGAGTCCGTCTCGCAAAGGTCCCGGCTGGCTTCCAAATAGGTAACCAGCATTGGGTTCAGAGCCCTCACGACAGCCCGATTCCGCTTGCTTAGGGCTATGCGGGGAAGTCACGGTCGATTTTCGAGAGGCGTACTGCGCGTTTCCACAATCGCCTCTTCCAATATACTCCTCATATGCTCTAATTCCAGTTCCTGGGCGACTGTTCCATCATCGTTTGAATCAACCACAACTGGGGTATTCACGGCGGCATCCACGTTTGCGGGTTGCTCTACCATTTGTGGCGCCGCATCCTCAGCCGTAGCATTCTCATCCGACGAGGGAACAGCCTCACGTCGTTGCCGTTCGAGTTCGGCGACATCAAATATATTTGAGCGCAAGATATACCGAACTCGGTCTGCCAGGTTTTGCTCTGTGACGATTAAAGATGGCTCCAGCTCAGCAAAAAGACGATGCATCCTAGCCCGATACGCCAAACATCCAGTTTCTTCCCCTTTTGCCCTAAAGTACGCCCGCAGTGCGTTTGCATTCATTTCTTGTGACCAACGCATGCGACGTGCTCCACCAGCGACGGGTGCCGCTTGCTGAGTCCGAGAAGACCCAGCCGACACCAAGCCTTCTGGTGGGGGTGATGGATGCGGAGGGCTGGTAGATGACCGTGCAGCTCCTCGCGCTCGGCTGGCGGCCCGCATGCTGCCGCGTCCAGCGCCAGCTCCAGACGCGCCCCGGCGACCCCCAGGCAGCGGCCCTTTGCGCACTATCTTTTTATCCATCATCCATTATTTGGGCGTCCATTAACGGGAGACGCCCAGGCCCGGCACCGTTTCGTGTGTAGCCATAAGCACAAACGGGCCTCTGCACCCTAAATTCTGCCGCGGCACGGCGCTCACACCTCTCGCAAGGCGCTGACTGACTGCGTTGACGTAGCAGTTTTGTCACTTAACTGTTACGTCAGCGGGCGATGGGGTCGTCAATTCCCTACGCCTTTATTATTATTATTATTATTATTTAAAAACAAATTATTGGTTTGTAAACCATTGGACCTACTTTGATAATATTTGTATTTAATAATTATATCTTTTGTTTTCAGCTGTAAGTTGTGGGCGAAATATTATATTTCCTTCCCAAGAGCAGTATACTACTTCAGCTTTCCAGACAAAGCTACATAATAAGCCCAGAATGCTGTGTGAAGAACATTTTTTATACATGGTAGAGCCATGCTGCAATTATATTAGTAGTATAGTTGTAGCACGAATGGGTCGGCTCGACCGGGGAAGGACCACGCTCTCACAGAATACCAGCGTGAAATAGCAGCTTAACGCTGCTGTGTTTCGTATGGTGAGTGTAGAGACCGGAGACCCCTTTTACTGGAAACGAGGCATTCCGTCTTAGTCCTCACGGGTGACAACGCATCTGCATTTTGATTCGTAATCGATGATAGATGTAGATGTCTATGGGCCGCAGAAACTACTTACCATCAGGTGGACTGTGTGCTCGTTTGTCACCCTATCCTATAAAAAAAAATTCATGATGGTTAATTTAATGATGCAACCAAGAAAAAGCTCTTAAGAACTGCATTCCCATATGATGTAAGTAAAGTGTATAATGTATATGGTAATATGGTATGTATATAGTTTTCTTTAAGGATTACTAGATATTTTATATGAGGATTACTATATTCAGGAGTGGACTTTGATAGACAGTAATGAAGATGATGATGATTATTCATATGACCATCATCTGGATCTAACAAGGATGGACAGACCACATACAGTAGTTTGAATCCTGTAAATGCTTTAAACTAATTTATAATAATTGGACGGACAAGGCATCCAAAGGATTGAAGTCTATAACTCTATAAAGTTAACACAAGCCCTTACTTACATTATTAAAAGTGCAACACACCGCATATTATTTTTAACAATCAAATATATTTTTTAAAACGACAACAAACCTTAAGAAAGTTCAAGCATCACAATCTATGAATAATTACATTTCGTCCTAAACCTATCAAATTTAAAGGCACAACTTGTACAACACAGTAGAAATATATGCATCGAATGGTTCTCAAATAATAGATAAACACTAGACTTCTTTTCACATAGTTATTGTATTTACTATCTTATTTTGTTATATTAATTGTAATAGTGGGTGTATTATAGAGCAAGTTGGATGAACAAGATCCATTCATTTACTTTGTATTGGTAGAAGGGTAATGTAGTGCCGTGAGTAGGGACTATGAAAGTAATGTCAGTGAATATAATGTTAATTTAATTTTATATAATAATTTTATGATACTATAATTTATTTCAGTTTTTATTTATTTCCAGACTAACAAAGTATTCCCATTTTATTTTGTGGAATCACAAGCTGGCTCCTCGCAAATTATTGCTGCAAAACCAAAAGCAGGATCTTCAAAAAGGACAACATTATATCCACTGAAGAACAACCACAAACATCAAAGCATAACAGATAACGTTGAACCTGAAAAAGAAAGTACTCTATATGAAAATTTTTAAAATTATATAAGGAATATTTTTGTAATCTAATATTTAATATGTTTTATAATTTTGAATTAAAATTATTCCATTTATAAGCTCATTCATTACTTAATATATTGCATATAATATAGAGACAAAATTTTTAGTGTCAATTCAGGGAAATTTTATATGTGGTAGAGCCATGCTGTAGTTATATTAGAAGTATAGTTGTAGCACGAATGGGTCAGCTCGACCGGGGAAGGACCACGCTCTCACAGAATACCAGTGTGAAATAGTAGCTTAATGCTGCTGTATTTCGTATGGTGAGTGTAGAGAACCGGAGACCCTTTTTACTGAAAACGAGGCATTCCATCTTAGTCCTCACGGGTGACAACGCATCTGCATTTTGATTCGTAATCGACGATAGATGTGGATGTCTATGGGCCACAGCAACCACTTACCATCAGGTGGACTGTGTGCTCGTTTGTCATCCTATCCTATAAAAAAAATAGATGGAGAACCAAATATTATCAAAACAAAATTATTATTTGTGAATTTTGCACTTGTGTGTAGGAGCTTATTTATTAACTAACTTGTTTTTGATTAAAATATTGATATTTAGGTTATTGTAGACATTCTGTGATTTGCGATTGTGCATATTATCAATTCATCCATGATTGTAAATCTTATATATATTGTTTACTTAAGTAATTGAAATGTTGTAATCAATATTGATTTTCTTTTCATGTTTAAACCCATCAAATGTCTTTATAGAAAGAACTAAGCTGCTGGAGAAATTTTGTCTTAAGTTATGTATGTTTTTTTTATTTTTATTTGAATAAATAAATAGAAATTTTGTAATTTTTGTTCTTTTATTTAGCGCTGGGATAGGCAACCCAAAAATACCTCAAATAAAAAAACCAAAAAAGACCACGTTCAAATTTCCCGCCACACGAGAAGTGCAGGAGGCTGACGATAGATGGAGCTAGTGGTTATATATAGAATTTCTTAAATTTTGTATGAAGTTGTCGTTCTTCTCCGATAGGAGTAATAGTGTTCTGTGATTTAAACCCGCTGCATGCCGCGATCGGGGCAGTCATAGAGGAAAGTAATATATCGGGGGCAGTAATGAATTTGGCGAGACAAGCGAAGCTTCGGAGGGGAATAAAGTGAATCAGTGTAATTAATTATTAGTGTTTTAAGTTAATTAGTGTAAAGTGAATTAAAGTGTTAATTTTGGTAATTCAATCGGCATTTTTTATCGTCACGAACCTCAAGCTCGTAACAATACCATCGATCCCTTTATAGGCAGTAAAAGTGATTTTAGAAACAAGGTACGTACATGCATATTAAACACAGCTTCTGTTGTTTAATTTACCTTTATTTGTAAACGTAGGATGCCGGTAAGCTACATTATGAAGAAACACTTACTTTAGGTAGCTATGTCAAGTGAGCTATTTATATATTTTAAAATATTTATGTACATTGGTGTGTACGTATACTTGTATGTATATATGTAATGATATATAGAAAATATGTATTTCGCCATGATATAAATAAATGAATTTTAAAATTAACACGAAAAGTAAATCACATATCAATTTGTCAGTAAGACCTAATATCTTAGTGTTAGTAAACCTAAAATTACTTAATTTTATTACTGTTATATTATTAAGTCATTTTATTTGTTTAATTTCCATCGTTTTTATTCATTATAATTATACCTAGCTTACCTTTATGTTTAATATGTGGATAACTGTTATTGGCAAACTTGAAGTAAATTTGAAATTGTATTCAGTGATATACGCTGTTGTTATCCTTATTAAAATAAAATAAATAAAAATAAGGCCTATATAACCGATCTCCCGACGAACGCCAGTTAGTCTTCAAGCAGTCTACATTCCGTCTCGGTCAATCTTCAAGTCTCATTCCAGCTTCAGTCATCGTTACTAAGTCGTTACTATATCCTTACAAAATCTTTCTATGTCCTAGTTATTATAAGTTTATTAATTCCTTATTGTGAATTTAATTAAATTAAATTGTGTCGTGTATTAAATAGTTTTTTAAAAAGTTCTATCCACGGTCCCGTATAAAATAGCACGTACCAACTATTACATGTCAAATTCTCCCAGGGTTGACTGATAGAGAATACCATAGGGCATTAAGTCCGTCCATTGTAACCTTTAGATTAAGGTGTAAAGCAATAAAGATTAAATAAATAAATAAATAATGTCCTGGGCGTTTTTAATATATTTATTAGATTTAATATCAATAATAAAGGAGACGGGCGAATTTGGGCCTAACGTTACACAAGTAAAATATTTATCATTATTTATTTTACAGTTTTTTTATAGTTAATAAAGAAATATTAAGCAGTTTTATCATGGCAAAAGAAATTAAATATTTAATAAAAATAATACTGACTTCCGTTATTTTCATTTTTAAACAATGCTACCAGATGAAATACGTTAGTTAATCGATTTTAATACAAAAACAGAAAAAAGACAATTCAAATTGATTCAGTGTTTTCTTCTTTAGGTAAGTTTAAGAAACGTATTATTTAATTAAGGGTT